CCATATTGCCATAAAATTTTGTTGCTTCAAGAAGAAATTGTTGAAATCTGGGCTTCAGATCTGTTTCCCTATATCTGCGGCGTTGTGAGAGTGGTACCATATAACTCAAAATTCTTGCATTTTTAACAACAGGTTAAATTGTAATGAACATTTTTTTGAAAAAAAAACACGCTTTGCAATCACACCTCGTAACCCGTTGGAATTTTGTACAAGTTCAATTTTCAAATAATCTTTTCTCTGACTCCTCTCTCTGAAACTCGGAAAAATCCTCCATGCAATTAGAACGAAAACTGTCATAACTGTGTTGTTTTTGGCTTAACAGGTTAAATAATATTTCAGGAGATTCTACCAACCACGCACGTGAAATCTATCAAAATCATCATCAGACAAAATATGCAAAGAATCTCTAATTTTCGTTCTGTTGGACTAATGGAAGAAAATATAAAGATTTTTTTATTATATGGTACCACTTTCGTAACTCAGAAGCTCATTTTTAGCCGACGAGTTTTTCAAGGGAATTTTTGTTTTTTGAAATCCAAGTCCAGATTGAAAGGTGCATTTTTTTGGTTACGATTGAAAATCGATTTTTCGAAAATTCTTTCAGTTTCTTCTCTTAACGGCCTTCGAATGCGAAATTACATTTTAACCCAACAAAGTGGTCATCAAAAAGTGCCAGTAACTTTGGAGTTTCTGAACGGATTTTAGCTTTGAAAACGCTGATATTTAGGAAAAGTTGTGGGCTTTTAGATGCGTTTTGGATTTTCAAAATCAAGCCAAAAATGCCAAAGTTATGACAGTTTTAGTTCTGAATTGCATGGGGGCGTTTAGAATGTGGAGTTTTTAATGCATTCGATTACTTGAAAGGACATTTTGCGAAATTTTTGAAAATTTGATTTCTGCAAAAAGCAAATGAGCTTTGAACTGAGTTTTTTAGAACACAAATTTTTGTTAATCATCGTATTTCCGCTACGGTATTATGAGGGCAGTAACACATAATAAAATTTTTTACTGTGAGTCAAAAAGACACTTGTTAGTCAAAAGTCCTGATTAAAAGATGCATTTTTTTGGTTACGATTGAAAATCGATTTGTTGAAAATTCTTTCAGTTTCTTCTCTTAACGGCCGAATGCGAAATTACATTTTAACCCATCAAAGTGGTCATCAAAAAGTGCCAGTAACTTTGGAGTTTCTGAACGGATTTTAGCTTTGAAAACGCTGATATTAAGGATTTTTGTGGGCTTTCAGATGAGTTTTGGATTTTGAAAATCAAGTTTTTTTTAGAGCACAAATTTTCGCTAATCCTCTGTTGCCACGATGTCATTTACGTGGTGTAATTTCAAAGTGCATTTTTTCTTTTAAAAATGTCAAAAAATGTTTGACTAACAGATGAAAAAACTGTAAAGGGTTTTACATTATATGTTACCGCCCTCATAACTCGGTTCGAAAACTGAATATTTGCGAAGCTCCAGTGAGTTTATCACGTTGTTTAATTATTAGCGCCATAATTCTTATTCCAGTGTTGCCAGAGTTGCAAAAATATCTTCTTCTGCTCGATTATAAAATCTAAGTCGATATCAATTTTCAAAAATTAAAATTCTTAACAAATTCGTCCTATTTTGAATATTTTTGAAACCGAAACAGCTACGAGGTGTTATTGCAAAGTACATTTTTTCAAAAAATTGTTTGTTTTGATCTTATGAGTTTATTCCGCAAAACACCAAATCGAAAGAAAAATTTATTAGCTACAATGTTGCCACAATTGAAAAAACTTGGTTGGGTTCCAGGAAAACAACATTTTTAGAAAGTTTTTGTGGCTGTTTTGCCTCTAGAAGGTCCGTGAATAATTTACTCTAAACCGTGAAGAATCGCAAAAATGTAAATATATTTCTATTATATGGTGGCAGCTTCATTACTCCAAAGCGCATTTTGAATAGAGAAAATTGCAGTTTTTCGGAAATTTTTTGTCTTTCGATATCAAAGATGAAATAAGGAAGTGGGGAATTTTTCGGTTGCCATTGCAAATAGGTTTTCTCGAAAAATCTTTCAATTTCTTCTCTTAACGGCCTCCGAATGTGAAATTAAGTTTATAAAGTGTCAATAACTTTAGATGTTCTCAACGGATTTGAATATTCAGCACTACTGAAYTCTAGGRAAAGTTGYGGTCWTTCAGAAGAATTTTCAATTTTGAAAATTAAGCCAAAAACAACACRGTTATGACAGTTTTMGTTCTAATTGCATGGAGGATTTTTCARAGTTTCAGAGAGAGGAGTCWGAGAAAAGATTATTTGAAAATTGAATTTGTACAAAATTYCAACGGGTTACGAGRTGTGATTGCAAAGCAYGTTTTTTTTTTCAAAAAAATGTTCGTKACAATTTAACCTGTTGTTAAAAATGCAAGAATYTTRAKTYATATGGTACCACTCTCACAACGCCGCAGATATARGGAAACAGATCTGAAGCCCAGATTTCAACAATTTCTTCTTGAAGCAACAAAATTTTATGGCAATATGGATTTTCAAAAATTAAAGTTKTCCAGAAACTCGTCYTATTTAKGATTTTTGGTTTTTTGTTTSGAATCCAACCAGATTACACATTTTTTTAAACATTAATAACTTTCGAGTTTCTCRCCAATTTCAGCACTTCTTAAGCCAAAAAACCAMACAGTTGAATTTTTTAAATTGTYYTTTGWCCCTTCCACATGTCATTTTTTAGCACCAWAATTMWTATTACAGTGTTGCCAGAGTTGCAAAAATCTCTTCTTCTGCTCGGTYACAAAATCKRAATCGATCAATTTTCAAAAATTAAAATTCTCAAGAAATTYGTCCTATTTTGGATAATATTTTTCAAACCCAAGCAGCTACGAGGTGTTATTGCAAAGTACATTTTTTCAAAAAATTGTTTGTTTTCTTCGAAAACTTCAAATCGGGGGAAAAACGTGGAAGTTGTAAAAGCAGCAACATGGAAAAATAACGTCTCAAAAATGTGCATCCCTCGTAATTTTAGGTTCATTTCAACCATCAAGAASTCRTCCGAAAGATCCTTATTTTGCCTACAACTTTKCCTGGTTGCCATTAAAATCCGCTGGRAAACCTTGAAGAAATGAGAGCGGCAGCATGTAATACAAATTTCTACAGTMTTTTYTTTGTYAGATTTGCGATTCTCCAAGACYTARGGTGAACTCACTGACCTTCTAGAGCCCAAACAACCACAGGAATTTTCRAAAAATTCACTTTTCCAMGAACCCAAAAAGCGCACAACTCTCTTATTTACRACTCGATTTCAAAAAATCCAATTGKGCCTTAAAGCTGRTTCATTTTGCTACCGTTTGGYTTTTTGAAAATTGAAATCTTCTGAAAAACCTCAAAGTTACGCCCATTTTTGACCGTTTATTCTCACTTATTCCTCAAAAGAAAGCAACCTAATTTTCTACTTACCGCTCCCGTAGTCATATCATAGAGGAGAGCCCCCAAAGACCACCAATCGGCCGCCTTTCCGTGCCCCAATCTGAGAATAATTTCCGGAGCCCTAAAAACCCATAAAATTCCTTAATAATCCCCCAACAAAACCCTGATTCAAAAGCAAAAACAACCTACATATACTCGATGGTGCCACAGAAGGTCAGCGTTCTGGTGTTGTCCTGAATATGCTCTTTGGACAGGCCGAAATCGGTCAATTTCACGTGGCCCTCCTGGTCTAGAAGTATATTTTCCGGCTTCAGATCACGATAGATTATTCCCAAACTGTGCAAGTGTTCCAGAGCCAGGATGATTTCGGCTAAGTAAAATCTGGAAATTTCGGACACTTTAGGGGACGAGCGGATCGATGTTGCCAATTCGAGCCACAGCAAGCTAAACCAGGGATGTTTTCAATCTGTAGGGTTTTGAAATTTTTCAAATCGGTTGAATATTAAGAAAGTTACACACAATTTGCACAATTTGACAAATTTTCTAAAAATCCCTGAAGAGTGTGCAAGCGCGAAACTTTGGCCGATATTGCAACTGGCTTTACTTGCCTAAATGCGAAAAAGGCCAAATTGCCTTCGCTGTCAGTTTCTGCGACACTTAAAAGAAGTGAAGCAGGTTTGACATTTTTTTCAAAATTCCCTGATGATGTCGCCAATTCGAAACTGTCAGTTCCTTTCAGGAAACATATTAAATGTCCAACTACAACTCGTGAAATGACCAGTTAATTTGGAAAAACCTGAACATTTCCCTGATGATGGCGGAAATCTGAAACTTTCCCGTGTGACACAAGCAAATTTCTATCCCCAGCAGCTGAAAACTTTTCTACTGTGTTTTTCCACGCTTGATCAACAGTCTTGAAAAAAATCAATGAAATTTGAAAATATTTGCCAAAAATCCCTGAAGAGTGCACACATTCGAAACTTTCGGCGCGAATAGAGTCAACAATCTTCAAAATACCAACACACTTCGAGTTTTATTCCTTTTAATTTATTGAACAAACTTATTGTTGAAGGAGAGCAAAAAAACCCTGATGATGCCCAAAACTCGAAACTCTGCCACCAACACCATTGAAAAGCCGAATATTTCGCGGATCGGGCTTGGCAACGTGTGTTGGTGGCAAAGTTTCGAGTTTTGATCATCATCAGGGTTTTTTGCGAATTTTTGACTATTGAGCCTTCAAGAGAAGCATTGTGTCAGATTGTGTTCAGATGGTTGGTTTCTCCGAAATCAGCAAAGACGCTTGTATTGTGGGGGCTAGTTTCGAGCCTTGGTCATCATCAGGGATTTTTTGGGGAATTTTACAAACTTTCTCGATTGTCTCAAAAGTGGGATTGCGTCAGTTTGTGTCCAGAAGGAGGTTTTTCCAAAACCTGCATACCTAAACGCTTTATAGTGACTGCACTTTGTAGAACACAGTCAGACTGATTTTTGGTCAAAGTTTCGGATGGAACCGGCGCCATCATCAAGGAGTTTGGGACAGTCAAAGTTTTCAAAAGTTGGTTTTACTTCAACTTGTCTGAATTTGATTTTTTATGAAAGTGCGAAGGAACCTTACTGCGCACTGCTTGCAAGATGCAGAGGAATGTTGGTTGTGGTAATGGCAAAAGTTTCGGATTTTTAGCATCTTCAGGGATTTTTGAAAAAAATTCCAAAGTTGTTGGACAATTGATTGATCGTCTTGCACAATTGATAACTTTCGAACCAACAGCGATAGAATCTTCCAGGCTACGGCCCTCTATGAAGGAGAACCACTGGTTTCAATAGTGAAAGTTTCGACTTTATGGTATCATCAGGGAATTTTTCAATTTTTTTTAAGTTGATCCTGATGATAATTTCCTTTCAACAATGAGTACTTCAATAATTCAAAGAATCAGGAACTGGAGTTTTATGGCACATTGTAGAGAAACGTCAGTTGTATTATCGCGCAACGTTTCAAATATGCGCCATCATCAGGCATTTTTTGAAAAAAAAACAGAGCCGCATGGAAAACTTTCGAAACTGCTGCGACAAAAACTTGTGAATTTCGGCACTTTGTCACGTGACGTCACCTGCATAAACGCTGAGAGTTTCGAACACCCAGCATCATCAGGAAATTTTTCAAAATTTTTCAAAGTTAAGCTATGTTGGACATCGACATCTTCCACAATAGATAACTTCCGAACCGGCTTAGACAGAAACTTCCGGTTTTGGGCCTTGTTGGAGTTAAGTTGTTCTCGTAACAGCCAACGTTTCGAATTTTATCATCATTAGGGAATTTTTCAAAAAAAGTTTTCATTCTTGGGCAGTTTGGCAAACTCGCTTTCAGCATAGTTCTTCAAGGAGTCAAAGTTCGAGACTTCGGTTCGGCGCATTTAATTGAAAGTTAATAAAATTGTTTTCTCATTAAAAGTTTCGAATTTACACACTTTTCAGGGATTTTAGGGACATTTTCAAATCTTATTAATTTTTGCAACACTGTTCGACAAGCGCAGCTTCCACAGTTCAAAACTTTTGGAAATAAAGTAGAGTGGTTTGTATCACACGGGGAAGTTTCGAACTTCCGCCATCATCAGGGAATTTTTCAGGTTTTCCCAAATTTAGCTGATCTTTTCAAGAGTTGCAGTTGGGCAAACTTACTTTCAACAGTGAGTTTTTCAATTACTCGAAGAGATAGAAACTGGGGTTATGTGGTGGATTGTTTAGCAAGCTCAGTTCTATTGCTGTCCAAAGTTTCGAACCTGTACACTCATCAGGGATTTTATGAAAAAATATCGAATTTGTTCCATTTTTTCTAGAGCAGTATTGACATCATCACTTTGCACGAACAAAAACTGTCGAACTGACTAAGTTAGAAACTTCTGGTTTTTCGAGCGATGTGGGAGAAGGCCACGGGCTTCAAGGCAGGAAGTTTCGAATTTTTGGCATCATCAGGAAATTTTTAAAAAAATTATAAAATTGATTGATGTTTCAAGTGTTGCGGTTTGGTCAGCTCGTGTTCAGCCATGAGGTTTTAACAAACCGGAAAAAGCTCGAAACTTGGATTTCTTCGCATTTTATAACATAAACCACGAGGAATGAGTGTGTAAAGTTTCGAACTTGGACACTCTTCAGAGATTTTTTGAAAAAAAAAATCCAAGTTGTTTCAATTTTCCAAGAGCAGAATTGAACATCACGATGATCCAGAATCGATAATTTTCAAAGGGACAAGGATGGAAACTTCCAATTTTGGCACTTGGTGACTCAAAGTGTTTACTGAGTGAAACCGAACGTTTCGAATTTGCGCCATGATCAGGGAATTTTTGAAAAATGTTTAAAGCCGATGGAGGTTTAAAATGTTGCCGCAAAAACAAACTTTTGTTCAGCAGCCGATTTCTCGAGAAACCCAAAATCCTGAAGCTTGAAATTTGTTCAGTTCAGTTGTATGACCATCAGAGTTTCGAGTGTTTGTCATCATCATCATCATCAGGGATTTTTTTCAATTTTGCCTGCTTATCATGGAAAATCCCTTGTTCCACTTTTGCCAAGTTTGGCAAAACCGTCGACAAAAACCTCACAACTTCAGCACTCTGTAGGCCCCAAGCAATCGTCTATCCCGGCCGAAAGTTTCGAATTTGTGCCATCATCA